GTTTAGATACAAGCTCTCCTACCACACTCCATTGGTTTTTGAAATAGCCACTATTATAACCATCTCGTCTCGGGCTCTTGCAATTTGGGATGCGGAACATACATTTCTTAACTTCTTCTTCAGTAGTAGGAATAATAAGTCGGAGTTTTTGTTCCATAGAAAGCACCTCACCTTCATCAATAATAGCACTCTGGATATCTTCCGTCCACTCTGTTTCACCCATTAGCCCCTAAAAATAATCCACCATAACTTGAGCAATATCAATTTTTGTTTCCATAACTTGTCCTTTAGAGTTTTTGATGGAGCTAATATGGTTCTTCAGTCTTCTCTTTTTAAACCAAGCATGAATAGTTTGGAATTAGTATCCCTTTTCCTGAACCCACTCTAGCTGCAATGAACTTTAGGTAGTAGGTATTTGTTGCTAGATATCACTTACCACTTATAATATTAATTGTGATTTGATAAAGTTTAGGATGAAGATAGTGATCATTGGACTGAGCAATATTGAATCCAATCGATTACTAAACTCAACTCAAGAGCTTATATATCGAGGGACTTCGATACGAGCAATCGAGCTGATTAGGCCACAACCGTTGGATATGCATTTCACACAGAGAACTGGGCTAAAGACTAGGGGCGCTGGAAATGAACGTCTAGACGGATACCATGACAAATGAAGAGGGCTAAAACTGGCTTTGTTACCATGATAAAATTTAGGATGGGAAAGAGATCATTAGATCAGGCAATAGGACACATGAGTTGAACTACATTAAAAGATTGAATCCAATCAATTACTTAGTTCAATTCAAGAGCTTATATACCAATTATTTTTCTCTTCAATTTTTGATGTGGGATAGACTCTAATACGGTCAGGACCTTAAACTCCTCTTTTGCTACTCTAACTTCTTAGAAGACGATGTGAACTTGCTCTAAGTGATTCATGTTGCTGCTTTTGCCTCCATCCTTAAGAGCTGGCTTGGAGTAGGCCTTTCAATGTGTCGGGTTCAGGCTGGTCCATAGTCTTCTTTACCCATACCATTTTATAAAAAATTGATCTTGAATCGTACCCGTTTACCCAATGGGTCTTGAAGTTTAATCCTAGATTTGGACCCATTGCCCATTGGGTCTTCGTATCGGGTCGGGTATACTCGCAATAAAAATTGACGTCTTTTATTTTTCTATAATTGAAAAAAATTTAGTGAAAATACTATGAATGAAAAACATCTTAATTGAGTACAAATAAAAATAAGACTAATGTTTTATTGCAACAAAAATCAGCCTTTTTTTTATCAAAAGTTTGCAATAAAAATTAGGGGTGAGCGTGGTATATGGTATCATACGGTATTTAGTTCGTATCCATACCGTACCAAATATTTCGGTTCGGTGTGAGATTTTACATCGTACCATCCCGAACCTGAAATATCGATTCGGTATGATTTGGGAGGGTTCGGTTTCAGTTTCGATAAATATTGGGATGAATATAGATACGTACCTAATTCACACTTTAGAATGTACAAAACTTTTTATTTTAAAAAACAATCGAAAGTACATTCAAATAGAGAAAGATAAACAATTGAAAAATGAATAATTAAATGCAAAAATACTTATAAAACTTAGTTTAATTTATACTTTATATTTCAAAAACAAAAGACAACGAATGATAACAAAATAATATTTCAAATATTTGTTAATTGTTTTTCTAAATGTACAGAAAATAAAATTCAAATAAATGATCATATAAATAAAAGATTATTTGTAATTCATCTACACTTGAACCAATTTTTCAAAATCAGATTATTTTCTAGTAAAGAAATATAAAAACATTGTTATTTTTCTAACATGTTTATATTTATGTTCGTTTGATACGCTACAGTTCTTTTTTGGTATTTTATCAGTTCGGTAATCTCGATTTTTTCAGGGAATTTTGGTATCAGCTCGGTACGTGCTCACCCATAATAAAAATCTTAGATTCATAATCTGCATTCTTGTCACATTCATTCAGGTTGTAAGAATGTTCTTTATAACATTACAACTAATTCCAAACTATTTATTTTATACAAATGCATAAATCAACGTGTACATGTCTCTAATGTGGTAAAATAAATATAAATAGATTTGGAAGCCACACAGCGAGTGAAGAAGGAGAGTAGCGAAGAAGGGGGTTGGGTTTTGTATCATTTAATATTATCTATTTATTTAACCTATACGGGTTTTAAACAGGTCGGTACTACTCGTCATATACCCGATCTTCTATTTTTTAAAATAATAGGTATGGATCCGAGTAAGGGTAAACAATATATTTTATATTTTTAAATTTGTTAAAAAATTACGGGTATTATACGGGTTCGGGTCTATACCTGATCCATTGATAGGCCTAGTTGGGAGAGCTTGGTGACAATTTTTTTTTTTTTGAATGCGGGAGAGCTTGGTGACAATTGTCATGGGAGAGATTTATTTTAGAAGAAAGGGAAGATGACAAATGAAGGTACACTTGAGAAGTTGAGAGACGAAGACAGACTTTAAAATCTAAGAGTAACTAGGACTTGTACTTCTCATTTATGAGTGATGCTTACATAGTCCTAAGATCCACATTTAAATTGTGGACCTTCTCACATTTTTTATGGGCTTGCATGTGGATATTGTTTTTGAAAAATGCCTACTTTTTTATGTTATAATACATTAAAGTCATAAAATTAGCATAGACCTTTACTCCTTAGGTTCATAAAAGAATTTGCTCTCATTTATTTGTCATTTAATAAAACAAGAAGAGTACCATTTATGATAGTTTGAGCACTGTCCAAAAAAAATTGAGAGTGTGTTTGGTGAGCAAACAAGATATGAATTTTGATATCTCTAGATATAAGAATTCTTTTTGAGTGTTTAGTGAACTCAAAAAAGATATCGAATTCAATATCTTCAAATATCACAAATCCTTCAAATGGAGGGTTTTGATATCTCCGAATATGGGAGATATCAAGAAGAGGGTTTGATATATCTCTCAATCATTGATCATTCTCTGTCACGGCTACCATTGTCATCCTCAACCACCTCCATTGCCGTGACGTAGAATGATCTCTGGTTGATTTCAAAATAAATTAATTTTAGATTTCAAAACTCATATCATTTCTCTCTAATTTCGTAACACATAGCTTATCATATCTTCAAAATTTACGAAACAGTAGTCACAAAATGTTAAGTCAAAAGTCTTAATACGTGAGGAGTACCATTTTTTATAGAAAAATGCTAGGGGTATATCTTTGGTGTACCCCATTTGTCCCCACCCCTTCCTCCACCACATAAATGGGAATAAACTTTAAAAAAAATTAAATAAAAAAAAAATTAAATAAAAATGGATAATGGAAAAAGGGGTGGAGGACAAATGGGTATGCCTTTGGTTTACCCCTAGCATTACGAGAAGGTATATGGTACATCCGGATGTACCTAGAAATAGGTACATCCGAGCAATACTCATTCTGAAATAAAATAGTACTCATTCTCGTACAAATATAATTATTGTGGTACTCATTCTAAAATAATGCAGTACTCATTGTCACACATTGGTTCAATACAATCATAATATTCATCTACAAATAACGTAGTATTCATTCTGAAACAAAACAATACACATTCTCAAATAACTTAGTGTTCATTCTCGTGTAAAATAAAATTCATACCAAAACCACCCGACCTGACCCGACTAGGGTTTTTCATCCCAGCGCCTCTCCTCCGATCAGCAGCTTCAGTGACGGATGCGAAACACCTTCCTTCCCATACAAAAGCTTTCTTCCGATTGAAGGAGCGCCTCTCCTTCCTCAATCGACCTCTCCTTTCACTTATAGCGACCCAACGCAACCCGATTAGGAGCACCTCTTCTTTCTCCTCCCATCGACGCAGCTGTTCTTCTTCCTTCGATTTACCGGTTGTACCTAATTTTGGGTACAGCCGGATGTATAATATAATTTGCGCTAGCATTACTCTTTTTTATACGGAGTAATAATCTAAAAAGAAATCACCCTACATAGCACTCTAACTCACCCAAAAATACGCATTTAGCATTATCCATTGTTTTTTACAAACTTAGCTATTTATGGTGTCAAACCCTTCCTATCATACCCTTTATCCCTTTTTATTTTTTTCCATTAAAATTAGGTTATTGAAGGAGTCCAATTACCGCACTCGTGCGCCTCCACCTACGCGGGTCTCCTTCGTCTACGTCTTCACTCCATTACCAGCGATTCCTTCGCCCATTAGCAGCGACGATCATCATCACCACATCTCTCTAAGCAATGGATAAATCAGGTTCTCTCCCATGCTTCCTTCTTCGATTTACCTGTATTTTTTTTGTTTTAATTGTTGTTTTGGGCGAAGGCGAATCCACTACTATACCCCGTCTTTTGCTTTGTACCATATTCGGGTTTTTCTTTGAGACCATTAATTGTTGTTTTAATAAAATTATGCTAAACACAGCAGCAGTAATGCCTTTCACTTATTTCGATTTCACACTGCCAGTGTTTATTGAATTATAGTTGGCAGTGTGATGTTTAGGTGTTGTTTTGAAATACCAAGTATTTGGCCCTTTGAACATGTTGAATGCCTATGTTTCTGGTGTGCTTGACTGTATCATTAAGCTTAAGAATTAGTTTGAGGTAGAAGTAGTATGCGTTATGGTAAAGAGCTGCACAAGAATTAAATTAAGAAAACACAGTTCAGATGCCGAATTGATTTGAGGAAGCAGTATATTTTTTTTACACATATTTATTGATGCTTTGATAAAGAAGACTTTGTTTTCTCATTACTAGAGAGAGATGGCTGGGAAAGTTTTCTTTAGTTTTAGCTTTATACTGGACTTCTTTGTGCCTTATTATTTTTTAACCTAATTGAGTATAATACAAATTTCTTTAATTAAGGGCAATATTGGGAATTAATCTCAAAAACTTATAGCACTGCTATTTTGTGTATTATAAACCTATTAAAGTGTTATATTCGTATTTCTCCCTAATCTAAAATGTAATCCTAAAATCAGCAAATGTTTTCCGTAGGACTGCAGGAGACTGTATTTTCGTTTTGCTCGCAACCTAGGGAAATCCTAGTGTTTTTCTTTCTTATTACTCCGGGGTATTACTCGCAAGGGGAAGTTAGTCTGCCGGCGGCAGAAACCTCCGTCGGAGTTCTACGATTCCGATGGACACACTTGTAAAGGTGCGAGCTCCCATCATATCCTTTCTTTTCAACTGGGCTGCAGCCAAATCTTAACTTGGCATGCAATGTCTGGGTCGGCTAGGGGTTAATTCATAAGAGTCGAGTTCACACTGTAATTTTGGGGCTGCATAAAAAAAAGTGTAACCGGAGTGAATCAATTTTGTTTCGGAATTTTGCCAAATTTTATATGCTCTATTGATGAAGTTTTAGATTTTATCGCTTCTGCTTGGATGATCAGCTGTATATCTGTCATTTGAGATGTACTTTTCAAGAACCCAGAGTTAAATGTTTCTATTCTTGTAGCTTGATACTGCAGTACTGCAGCATCAAAATCAAAAGCTTTCACAAAAGTTGGAAGTTCAGAAGATTGAGATTGCGGGTCTCGAGGATAAAATTGCCAAAAAAAGAGAGAAACAAGCACCATATGATAGCACTTTGGAATTAGTCCAAATTTCATGGAAAGAGGTATGCATTGCCATGGTTATCATTTTGTATGATGTGTAATATATGCACCAAGATTCAAATGTCTACTGGATCTTTGCTCAATTTTGCATTTTTCTGGATGCCCTTTCAATTTTATGTTTTCACTAGCTGGTTGATGAGCTGGATACACGCACACTTCGCTTAAAGGATTTAGCTGTTCACCTAAAGGATTTGACAGATTGTAAACAGCCATTGACTGAAGAAGGTTAAGTTAAAATGATTTTTTTCTTTTTATTTCTTTAAAAAGCATTCTATTAGAAGGGGAAGAAGGACCATGATACAACTTCTAGATTATCATAAAAAATGGTTTATTTTCTCAATCCAACTGAAAATCTAAAAATGGTACTCCTCTCATATTCACACTTTCTCAATCCAACTGAAAAGAATTCCCAGACCACATCATAGAGCCTCTTAAGTTTATGGCCTTCCTTCATAATTATTTATTTCTTTCCTACTTTGCTTGTTTTATTACTTATTTACCTGGTCCTTCATTTGCAGGTACTTAGCCCTCTTGCTTCAATAGTTATGTATGTATGTTTGTTCAACACCTTCTGCTGCTCTTTTGATTACTAGAATTGGGTACTTTTTTGTATGCTCCATTATCTCTAGGGTGAAGGAGAGAAAATGCACTCATGATTGATACTCCTCTTTTTCATTTCTCTAAAATGCCCTTAGACATCTCACTCGGGCCATCCTACAACGATATTAGTACTCAGTTATTTGCTTATTGCTTAAAATAGTGTTGACACTTGACAAGAAAAGACTATTGTTTGAACATACAGCACAATATGTACCTGGCATGTGGTTTCAGTATTTATTACACACCCATGCATATCCTTTTTGCTTTATTCTGATTCTCCCAGTGATATGCTAGTTAGGGAAGGTTCAGTACATCGATCTTATCTTCACTAAACTGAACTGAATTGATTTTAAAGTAGTTTTGAACCAAGCAGCCCTAAATTGAGCAGTACTGAATATAAGCCCAACTGAATGGTCTCTTAGTCCCTGTTATAACTTTTTCCCATCGGTATCTACTATTTTGTAGATTAATCATTTAATGCTTTTTTTCTCAAAATAGTCAGTAAGTAGGCACAAAAGTGTTCATAGCATTACATTTTTAAATAGGCTTTAGCAGTTAATAGAATTTGGTGGTGCAAGAGATTGTTCATTTTCAAATGGATATCGTCTCACCATTCATCATCAAATTATTGATTTGTTTGACATGAGTGAATATCATTGTCATGCTAATTTATGTCTGGTCTACATGAACATGCTTTTTATTTTCACTAGATGATTCTTCACCAGCTGGCAATGAAGCATTTTTGAATGCGCTATTACAAGTGCATGAAAATGATGGAACCTCAGAAGGCAAGAAAATAGATGATGACAAGACAATCGACGTAGTGTCCAATGCAATTGCAGCTCTGGATGGCCTCTGGCTTATAAAGGATAGGTTGTATACCACACTTCTCAAGTCACTTTCAGATGATGGTACGATGCATGATTGCATGCCCCTTAGTGATTATGACCACTCAATCACATCATTTTATTGTCTTGTTTATCTAATATCCAATATTTTTGCTTTCTTTCTCACTAGGATCGATCCCAGCAGAATCATCCCATGATTTGCTGATGGAAGTTAAAACCCTAAGACATGCTGTGAATGAACTCCACGTGAAGCACAGAACATTTGCAGGCGTATTGCAGAGTCGTGGAGACACGGATGCAAAGAATGAAGCTGAGCTTAAGCGTGTAAGAGGTGCATTTTCCATGATCATCTTTTTTCTTGTAGACTCCTTAGGAACAGCACATCAAGATGTAGGAAGCCTTACCTCTGGAAAAAAGAGAGGCTGTTTCTGTTAGACCCTTGATACATTCTCTCATTTGCTACCCAAAAATTCATAGAAAGTAACTGAGTAAGAACAAAAAGAAGTTAAGTGTGCCATTTGATTTAGTTCATTATTACCCAAAGCTAAAACATTGTCAATAATAACTTTTTTTAGGGAAATAATAATAAATTTTTTAGTTCCTCTGGCAATGGGCCCGGAAACTACACTAAGTAAAAATTCAATATCATGATCCGTATAAACTGGAAAAAAATTAAGAAAGTGAAAGATATCATTATGTAGAAGCAGAATGGAGTATTAATTGGTTTCACAAGATAAATTAATTTTTTTTAAGGAAAAATACATTTGCTCTAAAGATTTCCATAATCTCCAATGGATTCAAAGGTTCACTATTTTTTCGCTTTGGGGTGTGATGGAATAAAGAAAAATGGCTCTTCAAACTGTCTGCTCATCATGTGGTCAGGCTGGGCATGTGTCTACGTGATTACCTTTGGTGCTTGAGCCAGGGGTCTCTTTGGAAACAACCTCTTTACTTTCGAGTCGGGGTAAGGTCTGCCTACACACACCCTTCCCAGACTCTACTTTTGTGGGATTCAACTTTTCTCTAAAGATGTGGATTTAAGGAGGATTTCTGGTGACATTGATTGTGCTATTAAATGTTAATTCCTTTCCATTAACCTTTTTTTTGGATTAGAAGATTGATAAGGGTTGAAGTTTGTGTAACTGTCCATGAATGAATAAGTTTACTGAACCTAACTGAACCGGAATTAATTTACTAAATTGAATTGAACATAAGTAAAAAACAACTTGAAAAAAGGGACTTAATTATTGCGCCCTTTGGCAAGGCTAACTCACTGTTTCTATCAACTTCTGTCACAAGGATTTATGTGGAAGATCAATTTATGTTCCAAAAATATGTGAATTGAAAAATTAGTTTTGTCTTTTTATTATTTTCATAGCGGCTCCTCTTTATCCCTCTTTGTGAGGACGGGGTTTTTTATTGCTTAAATTAATGAATAGCAGAGTTTCTCATAATTATCTTTGAAATGCTTTCATTTAGTTATATATGCTGCAGCTTTTATTGGAATGAGGGCTTAAGTTTTCATGGGAAAGTACTTGAGCAGCTTTAAAGTTGAAACTACTGTTTACTTTTTGCTACTTTTGTATAGGTGAGTTACAGAAAACAATTGCTGATTTGGAAGAGAGTAATAGAAAGTTGGCAATTCTAAAAGAAGAGAAAGAGGTCACAAAGGGGACATTCTTCCCAGTCCTGAGCGTTGTTAATAAACCTGTAGCTGGTGACAGAGTCAGAGATAAGCAGAAAGATATGCAAGACATGGAGTCAACCCTAAAAGAGTTGTTGGTATTAATGACATGTTCATTTCTTGCTTTTGGCCAGTCAAGATGTCATTGATAAATCAAATGACTCGAGCTTCCTTACAGGACCAATCCTCATTTCGACTGTTCGAACTCAATCATCTTCACCAAGAAAGGATTGAAATATTGAAGGAATTGTCTAATTTGCAGGTGAACTAATGTAATATTTTTTGTATTTCCCATGTTCCAACCCTCCCTTTTTGTTTGTTTGTATCCTCTCTGGGAGTGCTTCACTACTCTCTAAAATTTCTAAGTGGATATTTTCTTTATAGAACATGTTAAAGAACGTTAAGTGCATATGCTCTTCGCATGCTTATGTCCTAGTCAAAGAACAGCTTGCTAAGACCAAGGCAGATTTAGCTCAGTATCAATCAATGTACACGAAAGTACAGGTACCTCTAGTGGCTCTTTCTATCTCTGTTTGTGCATTTATTTTTCCAATCCTGTTTAAACTTTCATTTACCGGAAACTTATTTGTTGATTTATTAAAGGTTGAAAAAGACAATCTCTCTTGGAAGGAAAAAGAGATGAGTTTGAAAAATGACATACTTGATGTTTTGCACCATTCCTCTGCTGTTGCTGATTCCAGAATAAAAGAGCTTGAAATGGAGATAAAGAAACACAAACATGAAAGGAATCTGATTGAGATGAGGCTGGAAGAAGCATCTAGAGAACCCGGTATTTAAGTCAATGTGAAGAAGTTTGAAACGTAATGTTTATTTTGAATTTGTTGGTTACATTAAAATACTGACTTGTTACTATTTCTTTCAGGCAGGAAAGAAATCATTTCTGAATTCAAAGCGTTGGTTTCTTCATTTCCAGAAGAAATGGGTAGTATGCAGAATCTATTAAGCAAATACAAAGAAACTGCTGCAAATGTACATTCTTTGCGTGCTGATGTTCAGTCTCTTTCCAATATTCTTAACCAGAAGGTAGGCTGACATTTTTTTCTCTCCCATTTCTATTTTAAGATTAAGTAAGTTGGAGCTTTTCTTTGATTTATTTTTTCAGGTTAACGAGTTGGAAAAATTATCTGCCTTGTCTGCTGCCCAGGAAACTGAAATGTTGCAGTTGCAGACCGTAGTAAGATCTCTTTCTGCTACTTACGTTAGATATTTTTATTCTGTATGTAATCTTTTAGTCGACTCTTTCTGTATTAAAAGTTTGGATACGCAAGGTTTTGTGCGGTGCATAAATATGAAATGATCAAAGGCACATTAAAATTGAGAAAGAATCCAACACAGACAATATTTTGCCTAAAATGAATGCAAAGTTAGTTACCTATTTTTCGTGAAACATAAATTATGGAGATGCTTTAAGCTAACATGGAAAAACTTAGAAAAATTCTAGGTTTCATACAACAAGTGAACTCATTTCCACTCTTATATGTAAACTGTTCATTGGCTTCTACTCCTGTTTTCCTGTAAAAGAGTTCTGTATTTCCTTTTTGGTCTATACGAAAGTAAGGTTTCAATTTCCTTTTAAGGAAAAAGTTGTGTGGTTCACATTATCTGTTTCTCCATTGCATAAGTGTCAACCACACGATTTTTGCTCTTAAAAACTATGCAGATTCAAGTGTGGAACCTTATTTTGGGATGAAGGAGTAGTATTTATTTCTTCACAAGGTGCGATATATAAATGCATCATAACCTTTTTAACTTTCTAAAGAGAAACAGTGAGATGAAATTATAAAACCGCCATCATCATAGATTTGGAAAATATCTTGAGATATTGATGAATTGAAATATTCTCTAGTGTCTATTCATATTGCGTGATTGATTATACAAAAGCAATACACAAATCATTGAACATTCTCATTATCTACATGATTGTTTATTTAATTATTTCACTTGTGTGAAGAATTGAACCCTGAATTTATTGGAGTAGGTTCAAGACTTGAAAGAGAGTGATATGGAGTTGGATCTCTTCCTGGAAATGTTCAGGCGTGAATCCCCATTTACCAGGTAAATTCATTTATTGCACTTACATTTTCTAGTGCTATGTAAATAGTGCATTATATTTACACTTAATCAAGCAATAAAAATATACAATATTCTAGTTTATCACGGTAGCATAGACTTAAGCAATTTTTATGTAGTAAACTAGCCAACTAGGGAGGCTAATCTTACACCCACCCTTTTGACACCCTTTCTTACTCCAGCTCTATCTTCTGCTCCAATTGTATTCAATCAAAACTTACTTACACATATATCTCTCTTGTAATATTTCACAACAATTTGACGTCATGAGTCATACAACATATATTTTTACATGTTAGAACATTTTATTGTGTTGATTTTGATGTATTAAATGAATCAAGAAACAATGTCGTATTGTTTTGAAATTTTACGAATTACAAGGGTGATCTATGTGGTACTAACTTTCAATCCAACGATTGGTTTTTTGTGAAAACAATTCGAGTGGAAGATATGACGGGTGTAAAAATAGTTGTCAAAAAATAGTTAAAATAGGTGTAAGATTAGCATTGCTCTCTCTCTCTCTCTCACACACACACACAAACATATTTTGGAACAAATCAAAATGGTGCTTCATGAGAGAAATTAAAACGCATGTATTACATTGAATTTAAGATCTACAGGCTATAAAAAGTTAAAGTAAGTTGCTTAAAGTAAGTGACTTCAACACTTGTTTACTGCAGATTGAATCTTTAGATTCATAAGGGAAAAAAATTCTGAATACTTGTTTCAGAAAACCAATTTAAGTCAATTGCTTTTACACCTGCATCTTATCCCAAAGTTCTTATATGATTACATCCCATTGCTATTTTATAAGAAACTTTTAAGTGAATCTAAATCATGCTTAAATTTATATGATTAAATCCCAGTTTTTTATATTTTCCGTTCAATTTTTCAAATCCCATACCACACCCGGTCATATGGTTTCTTGCATTATGTGCATAACACAATGCCACATTCTTATACATACTTGTATATGGAAGTATTGTGTATGTATCTTACATGCAAAGAACCAATGTTACAAACAATGACACGGAATTGCAGGGATGTTCTTGAAGCTAGGGACTCTGAGTACAAGGCATGGGCTTCTGTTCAGAAGCTGAAAACTTCTCTTGATGAGCACATTTTGGAATCTCGAGTAAAAACTGCAATTGAAGCTGAGGCTCAATCGCAGCAAAAGCTTGCTGCTACTGAAGCTGAGATTGCTGAGTTGAGACAGAAGTTGGAGGCTTCTAAAAGGTTTATTCTACGCTCTATGAATATGTTATAGTAGTTTTGAGTTTTGACTTTTGAACTTGCTCCAGATTAACGGTTCTAGTGTTTTTGTTACTTAAACTAATGTCCTCTTGATCTGTTCGTCATTTATTTTGTATTTAGGGCTCATTACTATCCCTGTGTGCTGTTTTCTCTTTCAGTAGCCAAGTTTCAAATATCATTTTCAAATTTCCAGAACTGGTATGAATAGAAACTTACCTAAAATTGGATAATCTTTCTTTGTGGGCTTGGCCTTTCTTTGCAAGTTAAAAATCCAATCTAACATGAGCTGGTCATATTGGTTAAGTGCAATCTTGTAAATAATCTTTAATGCACGGAAACTCTGCAGTTGCTGCATGTTTCTCTTCAATTCATTAATGCAATCCATGGTTCTGTTAATAAATTGCAGATTGTGAAGATCTTAATGAATTTATAGTAGTTAAGTTTGTTATAATGATGAACCATTAGGTTCTAGAGAAATGCTAGAGCCACAAACAGAATAGTCACAAAATTTACAAACTTATTATATACAACAACAACAACAACCCAGTTGATTCCCACTACAGTAGGGTCTGGGGAGGGTGGGTGTACGCAGACCTTGCCCCTACTCGGAAGTAGGGAGGTTGTTTCCAAGAGACCCCAGCTCAACTTGCACAAAAAATATGGTAGGGAACACAGTATAACACAGATAAAGCACCAAGTACAATGGAATGAAAGTCCTGCAAGCAATAGCAAAAGATTCCAACCAAACACAACACACTACAAAAAACCTCTGCAGCACCGGACTCCTATCCAGCTACTCTAATCCTAGTTCTCCAAAGGTTCCTATCTAAAGCCATATCCTCAGTCAGGGTGAGAAGTCCTAAATCCTGCCTAATCACCTCCTTCCAATTCTTCCTAGGTCTACCCCTTCCCTTACTTCCCCCGATAACCGTAATCCTCTCGCATCTCTGTACAGGGGCGTCAGCATTCCGCCGTCTCACATGACCAAACCATCTCAACCTCGCTTCCCGCAACTTATCTTCCACCGGCGCCATGCCTACCTGACGTCGGATAACTTCGTTCGAAATCCTATCCAACCTTGTCTTCCCACACATCCATCGCAACATCCGCATCTCCGCCGCATGCAGACGACGCACATGAGTCTTCTTAACCGCCCAATACTCTGTCCCATATAACATAGCAATAACATAGCAGGTCTGACTACGGACCGGTAGAACTTACCTTTCTTCATGGGCAAAATCTTCGGATCACACAACACCCCTGAAGCCAACCGCCATTTGGCCCAAGCCTCCCTACTTTTTTAATTATTTGAGAATGTTTCATTTTTTAGTTGTTTCACAAATAGTAAGTTTGTGTACTTTGTGACTGTTATATTCGTGACTTTAGCATTTCTCTAGATTCTATGGTGTTAAATTAATTTTAGAAGTGAAGCTAAAAACAAAATCAATTACTAAGGCTCCGTTTGGAAAGGGGAAATCACTTCCTGAAGTCATTTTCCCATTTTCAGTGTGGTAACATTCGAAAATTGAAGTCAAAGGAAATTGAGCTTCGTCCAAAAGGAAAATGGATGCTGAAATCTGGAAATTTTTCTCTTGCATTGAATAGTGGAAGACATTTTCCGCCCTTATCTATCTTTTGTCTTCTTCGTCTCTCTGCCCCATCTGTTTTCCATTCCTCAGGGTCTCTTCTCCGTTCATCTCCTCTGTCTCCACCATATCCCCCTCCAAAATACCACAAGCCGTTTTCATCACTCCGTCACTGCCACAGCAAGGGTGAACCGCTCATTTGCGTTGCCGGTTGTCTCAACCGCTCCTCTGACATCTCGCACCTGCATCTCGGTAAGATGCAATTTCTTGCTTTTGAACTATGAATTTGTGGAGTATTTTTTGTCAGCAATTAATCTCAGTTAGTGGATTTGAGTTTACCTCTAAAGTTCTTGACTTCTTTGGTTCATTTTCCAGAAATGTGCCAAACAGAAATAGACAGTTCTCATGCTTTTAGCCAAACACCAGAAAAAAATGACTTCAGGAAAATAAGTCATTTTCCAGAAGCTATTTTCCTGGATTTCAAACGGAGCCTAAGTTCATAGTTTTTCTAACTTGCTAATTATTATGTGCATGTATGCCNTTGTCAGCAATTAATCTCAGTTAGTGGATTTGAGTTTACCTCTAAAGTTCTTGACTTCTTTGGTTCATTTTCCAGAAATGTGCCAAACAGAAATAGACAGTTCTCATGCTTTTAGCCAAACACCAGAAAAAAATGACTTCAGGAAAATAAGTCATTTTCCAGAAGCTATTTTCCTGGATTTCAAACGGAGCCTAAGTTCATAGTTTTTCTAACTTGCTAATTATTATGTGCATGTATGCCTGCGTATACACGTGCATATGGATGTAAAAATGCAGTAGGAAGCGGTTGAGTATATCAGCCAGACAGCCACTTTAGCACCATGAAGATTGACATAAACCTCTCATTTTATATTTTGTTGGTAGAAACTCTTCATATAGATTACCAGTTCTTTTTTGCTTCAGGGAAAAATCCAATTTTTCTGAATCTTTGAAATCGAAACACGAAGAGACTGAGGCCTACCTTTCTGAAATTGAGGTTTCATTTTTCTACTTTCATTTCTAATTTTCCTTATTTAAGTTAGATTGTATTGTATGGGTGTTGTGAAATTAATCAAACCTTGTTGTGGATCAGACTATTGGGCAGGCCTATGATGATATGCAAACTCAAAATCAACAACTTTTGCAGCAAATCACAGAGAGGGATGAGTATAACATTAAGGTAACAGTCTCATACTCGTGTTCCCTTTTTTAATGATTAGAACTATTATCATAGACTACATGTATGCCCTAGGTGCATAGTCCTTATGGTAGATAGGGGATCATGCTCGTCATTTGAATCTACGTAGGAGAGTGTTAGTTAATAAATACTCCCTCTGTCCCTTTTAATCTTCCCACTTTCCTTTTTTGGATGTCTCTAATTAATCTTCCCATTTCCCTTTTAAGTAAAGAATTGCTTGGTTCACATCAGTTCTATCCTTCTGCACAAATTTCAACAACAAAATTTTACCTTTCTTAAACTCCACCATGTAAAAAGCAAATGGGAAGATTAAACAGGGACAAAGGGAGTCATATACTTTTCTCTCCATTTTCAGTCATCTGTCCCGGTGATTTTCCTTATATTTTTTTCTGTCAGATATATTGCTATGAAATTCTAGCATCTTTTGGTAGTAAGTCCTTTCTGTTCAGCTTGTTATAGATGGAATTAAGGCAAGACAACAGCAGGATTCTTCCATATCGGAAAATCAATCCCTGGAGAAAACAATTCAAGAAACCAATGCACTTTGCAGCTTCTATGAGCTGAAAACTGCCAAAATTGATGACCAGGTATACATAATACTTTGTAGGGCAAGAAATACTTCATGCCTTTATATGGAGCAACAATGCTCTACTGTCAGGTCCCAGATTTGTGTGTTGATTTTATAATGTGAATTTTGTATCCAGAAAGGACTAACAACTACGAGTCTATGACTCATCATGCCATCTTTTTCATGCGAGCTCAATTGTAAAAACTAAAAAGCCACTGTTTTTGCGCAATTGCCTATTTAAGCACATGTAAACGACTCCGCCTACAGGAGTGATTGAGTGCTAAGCTTTAATTTGATTGATAAGCGCGGTCAATATGTGTGAGACCATCAAACTGCTGTAATAGTTAAAATACACATAGCTCATCTTCTTCTGTACGAAGAAGATAAAGTTGGTGCCTTGGTGGCTACCTTTGCAATTCACCATTTGGTCTAATCTAGCATTCACATTGCTTTCCCGATTCAGCCATCTTCAACTCTTCAGCTCTTCTTTGAAAAAGAAGATGAAGTGGTTACTTTTACAAATTGCTTGCGTGTGACGCTTGATCATGACTTACTCCGACAAACCCGTTGATGTTTCTCTTGTTAATTTTTCAATTTTTTTACCTTCTCCTACAAAGCTGTGCTCTTCCTCTTTTATTGATGGCAATTTGAGGCTGTTGTGGGGAAGTTGGCTTTTATTTTCTACTATTTTTCATCTTTCATTTTTGGTTGATGGTAGGTGAATAAAATTATCTTTTTCTTCTCACTGGAATGATTCTTTCCATCATTGGATCAATGAGGCTGTAGGTTTTTGTGTTCTTTGTGTTATGCATGGAAAACTTGCAGTTTGGAATTCTGGGGTTATCAGTGTCTTGAAATGTTTGTTAAACTTTCAATGGCGCGTCCTACCAATGATCTGCCTAGCCACCCTGGGTCTACCTAGGTTGTTGACCTTAGTTCACCACCATATAGCATGTTTTAAAACTACTATCATCATCATCATCATCATGGCTATCAAGTTGTTGCCTAGCCAACGACTAGTCATCCGGTCATTTTGGAGGCGGCGACTTGATTGTCGCCAAGAGACTGGGGTGGACTAGTAGTCCGGTCGTGTAAAAGGATGCCTAGGCGATGGAAACCCTACCCAATTTCATCCAACCTGACCCAAATTTCTTTAAATTTTAAAAATACTCCGTAAAAGCATCATATCCCTTGTTTACTCGGCACATCGCGACAGTCCTTCCTGATTTCTCTCTCATCGTTAAAGCCCATCTTCCAGGATCGATTGTTCTTCATCTTCTAAGATCCACACGGCTCTCTATCCTCCTCCATGGGTAAAATCTCTTTATCTTTAATTCTTTTCTGCTAATTGTCTTGTCAAGATTGTTCACGTGACGTCTCTTTCTCTATCATCCTCCATTTTTTTGCTATTATTAGTTTTTTTAGTTTTCTTTTCTCCTGATTTCAGTTTATATATGATTCTGTTTTTTGCTCATTTTAATTTTTTAAGGGTAATGACATTCTAGGCTCTATTTGATAACTAAAAACATGGAATTAAATAATTTTTTATGTTCTTCAACTTCTTTTTGTGCTTGTTATCTTTGTTGGTGTGTTGTTTTTGAAGATTGAAGGGTATTTGTTTTTTATGTACCCTTCATTGTGTGACTTTATGTGCTACCTTTAAACCTAATTTTGTTTTGATAATGATATTTTTTCATATAAATATACATAGTTATCTTTGGTCAATGAAGATGTATATAATGTTAAAAACTTCAATATTGTTTGTGATTTTTCGAAGTAATAATAATAATAAGAATAATAATAATAATTACTTTTGTTATTATTATTATTATTCCATAGACCCTTGAGTGTGGAGGGGACAAGATTTTTGTGTTGGGTAATTTTGGGCTTTCCGTTGGTCGGAAGGATCTCTGCTATTGTAGTTAGCAAGATGAAGAATGGGAGTTAACTAGATGGGATGAGATCTTGGTATAATGCTTGAAAAGCGCAGACAAGTTGGGGAGTGTGGCTGTCAGAGTTGTGCGATGTCATATCTAAATCAACTAAGATGTCCAGAAAATGGAGGTGGAGTACAATGGTTCTTTTGGACAAAAACAAGGGTGATACCCAGAATTGAAAATATTATAGGGGCATGAAGCTATTAAGCCACATTATGAAGGTTAGTGAGCAGGTAGTTGAGAAAAGTATGAGGAAGGAGGTGATTTTTGCAAAGACCAATTTGGAAGTCCTCAGGGAAGTCTAATGGTGATGTCTGGAGTTCAGAGGTGTGCCATATATTAGAGGGATCAAGGATAGTTATAATGGAGCCTAGGGTATATTTAGGATGGTCGGCGGAGACTCAGGCCACTTCCGGTTGAGATAAGGTCGCGTCTAGGGCTGCTCTTAGTTTTCTATTTGCCATGGTGATGGATTAATTAACGAGGCATACCCGGGAGGAAGTACCTTAGCGCATGCTATTTGCATGCGTTATTGTTTTTATCCACAAAATGGATGGAGTTACTGAACGACAAGTGGTTTGGAGGAAAACCTTTGAGTCTAGAGGTTTAGTTTGAGTAGGACAAAGACTAAGTACTTGGAGTCCAATTTCATCTCATTATTCTTATCTAAGAAGTTTGCAAAGGGAAGGACATTCAACATAGCATTCTACTTGTTTTGCATGATTTTATTGTGTTAACTTCTGTTAAATGATTATGTGGCCCGGATACGCTGCCTAATTGGCAGGCCGCTTCTATGATTGATGGGCAAAACCAGGGCATGGCTACTGCCTAGGCAGATGCCAAGCCCAATTTATAGAACAAAGGTGCAGATTAAGATGATGATGATGATTGATTGACAATATATATTGTTTTCATTGCAGTTAAGAGGATGCTCAGAGCAAGCCCAAAGACTTGCAGAAGACAGAGTTCAAAATAGAGCTGCTTTGGAAAGTGCACAGATGAGACTAATAGATGTGAGAAAAGCATCCCAGCAACAGCGAGAGGCGCTTGAAGAACTGCAGTCCAAGGTGGATAAAAGTCGAATTCATCTGTCTGATCTGCAGATAGATCTAGAGAAAGAAAGGTAATCTGCAGATAGAATTAATTTTAGATCCTTCACACCCACTTTGTGGTATACTGTATGGTCTGCAACTGACAACCCAGTCTGCCTTTCCAATTTCTTATGTTTAATTCCTTTTTTCTTTTCTTTTTAGATTTGAAAGGAAAAGGGCAGAAGAGGAAGTAGAAGCCATTAGGAGAAAGATTACACGTCTAAGGTCAGAAATTGAGGGATCATCCGTAATCCAAAAGCATCGACAGATGCTAAAGAAATACAAGGAAATACTCAACTGTGGTGTATGCCACGACAGGCGTAAGGAGGTATATGAATTCAAAATTTGATTTTTAACACTATGTTTGGTTCAAGGAATTTGAAAGAAAATAGTTTTCCCCCATTTTCCTCACCAAAATGGAAGGAATTTGGTTTTCTTCTCTCTTAGTACATTTTGCCCACTCATTTTCTTTTCCTTCCACTTCTTTTCTTTTCCTCTCTAACCAAACAAGAAAATTGTTTTCCTTCTCATTTTCTTTTCCTTTCACTCAAATTCCTTGAACCAAACATAGTGTAAGTATTTCCCTCTCAAGTGGGATTATATACTAGGTTTGTTTGGTTGGATAGTTTTTGTGTGTGATTTTCACGCGCGCTCTTTGGTTTCAGGTTGTCGTCACAAAATGCTACCATCTGTTCTGCAATCCTTGCGTCCTAAAACTCATCGAATCGCGTAATCGTAAATGCCCGTTTTGTGCAACCACCTTTACAGCTAATGATGTGAAGCCTGTTTACATATGATAGATATAGCATGCTGAATGTCTTAGGCTTTGCTACATTGTTTTTATTTTTTGTCTGGAACAATACTGATTTTGTAGGATCTCTGTCTGTATTCAGAACCTGTATACATATGATAGATGTATTTGCTTGTTAGCTCAAACTGTACTGCAAGACCACCAACGCTTCTGTCAGGAACTCCTATCTTCTACCCCCCCCCCCCCCCTTTGAAGCACGGTTATCAAGGCTAGGCGTCGCCTAGGCGTCTTGCTCTTCTCGCCTTCTGAAAATCCTTTATGGTATGTTTGGGAACATGGATTTGGATTTCAAATCCGGATTTGACTCAAATTCCATGCTTGGGAAACTTACAAATTTAGAATTTGGATTTAAATCAAATTCTTCTCATTCATAACAAAGCTTAATGTTAAATCCATGAGCCTCCCCTTGTCATTTGAAATTCAAAATTTCAAATTTTGGAATTGAAATATATGAATTGAAATGAAATCCTAGTTGCCAAACACTACCTTATGCCTTTTAGTCGGTGACTTTTTTTTTCATATTGAGTATTTACTTTGCACCAAGAAGTCCCATATTGTGTTTTTATCACAAGTGTAAAAATAACTACTCTTTCTGTCCGGATTTATTCTTCCTATTCCGTTACGAAACTTGATCGATTTTATTTTTAATTTAGTTTATTTAATTGTAAGATTAAAGTTTAAAAGTAAAATTTATATATTTAAAAACTAGATAAAAAGTTTAGAAAATAAGAGGTGGCATCTGGCATAAATATATCATATTACGAAATGAGTAGTGAAAATAACCAAACAAAATGGATAAAATTTAATCATGCGAATAATGTATGGGAAGATGAAGATGAGGGGATTTGGAGAGCCAAGTGCCAACGGAGGTGACAAAATACGGTGAAGATGAGAGATGAAAAATGGTGAGGAAGATAAACGGGCAAATAAAAGCTAGAGAAAAAAAGGCAAGCATCACCTCATGGAAAATGACTTCTCAAATTGAAAGATAGAAGTTGGGCAAAAAAAAGCTAAGAGAAAAAAAAGGCAAGCATGAGCTCATGGAAAATGACTTCTCAAATTGAAAGATACAGATATAAGTCAATTTCTGAATTTTAGACCAATTTTTCTATAGACCAAAGGCTCAATTTCCTCTGACTCCCATTTTGTACCCCGTAATATTACCAAACTTAAGAAAATGAGAAAAAAATGACTCCCAGAGTCCCAGATGTCATTTTCCACCTTTCCAAATGAACCTTAGAGTTTCACTTTTTTTTTAATATTGAATTAAAACTTTGAATTAAGAAAGATATTTGAATGTGTTGAACTAGAAGTCTCTTTTAATTTTATTTTGGGCACATAAAATGATAGAGCACATGATTTAAAAGACCAAACCTTTCCTCAAATGAAAACGAGAGCCAACCTAAAGCACTTGTTTTCCTGGTACTAAAAAAATGTACTCCGTAGCAAATAATCGAAAATTTTCATGTCATTATTCTTTAAATACGAGTAGGAGTGTAGGACCATACGTGCTAAGAACTAAGGCTGGAAGTGGCTTGGTTTATCCAAAATTGAGTTTCACAAGAAAAAAAACATATGGTGGTGTACTAAAATTATCTTGAGATGATTTATGTTATATTTCTAGATGGCTCCACTAAAAAATAGCATTCCCAAAACATCTATATGTGTGTTTTAAGACCAAGGTAAAGTCTCATCCATCCATTTGAAAGCCTTGGCCGAAAATAAGAATAAAGAATACAAAAAAAACTTTAGTTTCTTGTTTTTCAACATGTTTGGGAATAGCATTAGAGACTGGCGTTCAGGGGCGGAGGGAGGGGGGCATGCCTGGGCAAGTGCCCCCGGTGAAATTCCGGCGAAATAGGGTAGAGGTACCCATCGGAGAAGGGAGGCCGGATTTGCCCCCCCAGATTGGTCCGGCAGGTGGCACTGCGGTCTGCGGCAGCAGGTCGAAGAAGAAGGAGGCAGAGAAATTGATGAAGAAGAAGAAAACGTACGACGTCGTTCTCTTAAATGTTTAAAGAAAATCTTTTGGGCTTTGAGCCTTTGACCCATCCCAACACTCCAGAAGCCCAATTGCCCTAAAAAAATACGGACTAAGCCGGAAACCAAACGGCAAGTCACGGAGTAGTTGTTTTTCAAATCTTTGTTTGCTAACCCGTATTTGGTGATGATTATGGGATACTTTTCACTACCAAGTATTTAAGTATCAAATTATGATGCTGGATGCTTATTACAATAAAACTAATTTGTTATGTGTTAAATTGAAATTAGGGATTATTTTTTTTAAAATCAAGACTTTGAAAAAATTTAAATTAGCGTATGCAATAATAAATTAAATAATACTCTATCTGTCCTAGAATTATATTTCTTCTTCACTATTTCGAAATCACAGAAATTTTTGTTTATTTGTATGTTTTTATTGATTATTTAATAAAATAAAATATTTTTGTAACTACTCATTTTGTATAAGATTTCACGTACTCCGTAGTTTTTGAATATGTAAGTTAGATTTTTATTTATATATCAATCTTTAAATAAAATGAATTAAAAAATTTTAAAATCTTACTTCATTTTGTGAACTACTCCCTCCGTCTCACAGTTTTTGTCCACTTTTGACTTTTAGAACTGTTCATCTAAGCACTTTGACTCATCAAATTCTCTCAATGTGTAAGTCTAAATATAGTCATGTGTTATCTTGTTTGATTTGTCTTAACATATAGATTATTAATATATAATTTCTATAATTTTTTTAATATACAAATTATAAGATAAAATGGATTAAAGAAGTGCATTGGATGATGTGTAAAAATGAAAGTGGACAAAAGCTGGGGGACGGAGGGAGTATCATTTTTGGTTATATTTTTGGCATAATTCGAATAACATTTGTTTGTTATTTCATTTAAAAAAATCTGACGCTATCCTCCAACCCCACAGTATACTATTGTGCCCCCTCAAAGGTCCGCCCCTGGCTCCGCCATTGCTGGCGTTAGCGTTTTGGATAAAATCTTAACGATGTAAACTTATTTAAAAACGCTAAACGCTGCTCGTAGATAGCATTTTCAAAATGCTAACGCTAATCTCTAACCCTATTCCCAAACGTGCCATTTATCATTTTAAGTCTTCTATTTAGCCCCCTAATGTTTCCTTTGTCTTTTCTTATCACATGGCCGAATTCTTCCCTATCATAATCTCCCAAGAGTGAGTCATTTTTACACACAAGATAAGATCAAATCACCCCTGCACTTGTTCGCAGAAAATAAGGAGAAAAAAGTCCAACAGTCTTGTGTTCTTGTGTCATAAAAGTGTTACCTTTGATTCTCACTCCATGAACTCGAAATTGGCTATTAATCATATTCCAAAAGTGAGTCATTTTTCACACTAAGAAAGATCAAATAACCTCCCATATAATAGCAAAAATCAGGAGAAAGAAAGTCTTTGATTGAATAGTGACAGTTTGTCATATTTGTACTATAAAAGTCAAGAGTCTTTCATCAAAATACATGTCATTGGTAGACTGGCTATTCAGCATCAAAGAAGTACATCACTTTAATGAATAGTGATAATTGGAAGCTTCTTTCCACTTTTGCTTTGTCTTATTATATGTATTATTAGCTAAATGCCTTTCCATTGTTGCCTATATAAGTTCGGCCATATGCCTTGTAATCCAAGACTTTGATAATAAAAAAACCCTTTATTTTATTCTTTGAGTAATTCATTCAAATGGTGTGATGTTTTCTTTACTAAAATTCTAATTCTATATCTTAAAAGTGTTTTCTTTAATAAAATTCTAATTCTAATTCTATATCTTAAAAGTCTAAGCTTTAAATTATGGTTATTTAATTAAGTGCGTATATCTTAGTTAAATTCTAAACTCTAACCCCAAATTCATCTAGAGGTGCATATATCATTTAGTATTAATTTGGACCCAAATTAAGATAAGTATGAGCTTATCTCTTATCCCTGATTTGGTTTATCTCTTCCTAATTTTACTCTATCATTTTGTGCGCCCCATATTATTTCATATCCATTTCCTCTGCAACTCCGTCATTTATTTATCCATTTGATAAGACATCATTAATTTTTGTTGGCATTTTAAATAATTTATCTATGGTACATATTCATTTTGAGAATGCTAAAGCTTAACATTGAAATTGTTATAAAACAGGCTCTTAATTTATGGCACCAAATTGTACAGAGACCAACTCTCTGAACCAAAAGTCGTTTTTATCCTGCACAAGTACAACAACCCAACAATATTTCAGAAATGCTGAAAAAGGGTCAAGCCAATCTTCACTCCAGTGATAAGATTATATATAAGTTTTACTATACTCAATAGCCTAATTCCTGAAAACCAGACCATTTTACAACATATTCACAAACCCTGCTGCCGAAACGTTTATAGGAATACTACGAATCAGAAAAAATGTTTATTAACAAGCACGCCGACCTACCAAACCTAAAATGGGCACCCTTTAGAGAAACTGGAATTTTCATAACAGCGAAAATGAAGCTATCTCATTTGCTTCGATCTGGATGAGGAGTGAATGTAATGGGATGGAAACTACCCTGCAAACCTGAAACCAAATTTCAAACAGTCCGGCTCATTAATGCATATGCCGCAAACCAAAACTGAGCCCATGCCATAGTCTTCTCACAAGTGCAAAGTTTTTTGGCTTACTTGAAATGGTCCTGACGTATTATTGCAACAAATTCAGGATGCAGATCGTCGTCCTTCTGCTTCCATATCTCGCCATTGGCATGGACCAACCATGATATCTGAGGAGAAACTGGTGTGTACAGATCTGCATGCCATCAAAAGTATTAATAGATTAATCAACCAATTGAATAGGACTGCAGTGAAATAGTTTCAAATGACCAGTAGAAGTCAATACAAGATTTCTTCATTTCGTAAGTTTGTGAAATCCCAGGTTATAAAAATTTTGAATTAACGACTCCGTTCATTATTTTTTTAAAAAAGAAGAGCATGTCACAAACCTATGTCACAAACCTATGACATTCTTCACCACTCCCTTTGAGTAAAACCTTAACCCAAAAACCTGCCTGTTTCCCATTTCTAAAGAAGCATTATACGGAGCAATAAGTAATTACTCCCTCAGTCTGGGAATGGTCTTCCCAAATTGACCTTTCACGCATTTTAAGGAGAGTTGAAA